TTATTATTATTATTATTATTATTATTACTATTGTTGTTGTTGTTATTGTTGTTTTATAATTGTTGTTTATAATTTGTACAATTAACCTCCCTGTGGTTCGACCCCGGTCTTGCCGGGTTATTTATTACTTCGACACTCCTGCACTTGGGAGAAGACATCAATATTTTAGTCATGTCATTAGTCTAGTCACTAAATCATTTTTTCAATTAATTTTCAGTTCTCCATATTTTCATCCTTTCATATTTAATATTTGAAATTGTGACTGACACGTGAGGTGTTTTTTTGATATTAAATTAATCGGTTTTCTCCTACAAAAAAAATATTTCTTGCAAAAATACAATTTCTATTTTAATTTACATATAGCCAAGTTTCTCAAAAATAAATTATACTTGCATATTTTATCATATTAAAAAATCATAAAAGAATAGTCTTATATATTTGCATGCATTTTGGATTTAATAACCAGTTTATGAAAGTCATGAGAAATTGATCTATATTTCAAAAATATCAACAAATTTATTTTGATTCTTTTTAATATGTGGGATTATGAACTTATATGTAAAAAATATTTCATATATTAAATTCAAAAAACACTAAAATATCTATTTTGTTTTCTGTTAGTATCTGGGATTATAAACTTATACGTGAGACATATTTCCAATATTAAATAAAAAGATCAATTTATTTTTATATTAGTACTAGAACGATTAAATTTTTAATTTGATAAGATAAAGACTTTCTTATTGGAAAGGACTTTTCTTTGACCATAAATAGTACAATAGTTAGAAAACACAATATTTTTTTAATTTATATGAAACAGATAAACAATACAACTTAACATAGGTAAGGCGTATTAGAGGTGATAATACTTTTCATTACACAATCAGTCCATTTTCTTAGACTCTGAGACTAGTTAGGGTTCCTAGTAACCAAAAATATTAAGTGACGACTCTCATTCCCTTTTATTATTGATAAAGGACAAGAATTCATTATCCTTTAATCCCACACTATTCCCGACTATTTAGAGGATCATCGCTGCAACATCGTATACACGTAACAATTACCAACATGGTCAATATTAACTACACGTTTGGCTCATGGCATTTTTCTAAAACAATACACATATGTCAACATAACTGTAAAAAAGTTTAAGAAAGACAAATTAAACATGAGATTAAAGAATTTAGAGAGAAATGGCAACAAAACAAGATGGATCCTAAGTTCCACATGTTACAGGGGTTTTAACAAAACCAAGTTATAGGGTTTTAATAAAACCTGGCTTTGATATCACCTTTGCTATGACCTGAATCCCAAGTCCATGACCGACAACACAGGAGTGGTGTCGTAAGGACACTCCATCTATGCCGAGCCTTAGAACATATATATCATAAAACAAAATATAAAAAAAATAACAACATTTCATAATCTTTCAAAAGATAATGATCTTCAAAGCAATAAAATCAAATAATACTTTAAAAACTTCTTATCATCAAATAAAACAAAAAAAAAATTCATAATATTTATTATATTGTCAAAATTCAAATTTAAATAAAACAGTATAATAGTAAAGCGTCTAAAATATCGAATTAAAAAAAAAAGCCTCACAATAGCTAGCAAGGCATACCAATAAACAAAGCAGCAGGAACTCTCAATCAAAGATCGATCTGCTAACAAAAGTTAAAAATCTTAAATAATATTAAAATAGAGGGGTAAGTTCAACCAATTCAGTAAGGAATAATGTTTAATATATATCTTAGATATTAATAATTTACAAGTCGTGCATATCTTGTTATGGATATACATATTAAGCATATTAACATAAGGTGGTGGAATACATATTAATGATTAGATCACACTTGAAAATGATCACTATGAGAAGATTAGTCGCCACAGGCTAGTGCCTCTCTTACCAGCTAAGTATACAGAATATTATATACACATGAACTAACAACTCTCCATTAGTATGAAATTACTAACAAGTCTTATTTCAAGACATAATAGATATTTGCATCATTATCAAAACAAATGATGTCATATCGAATAAAATTTAAAATTTAATTCAACAAAATACGAGCGTAAATCCAAGAATAGATGAGTACTTGGATAATAAAGCAACATATATAAATATTCAAGAATTAATCAATTATACTCATCATATAATTAATATATATATATATATATATATATATATATATTATTTACATTATATACATACTAAAGATTATCTCACTCGCTAGAAAATAAAAGCAAAAAACAAACGGATGCAGAATTAAAGAGTATTGAAGATCATTAGGAGGAACATCAATAAAACCTATAACAGATACAGAAAACACTCAAAAACAACTCAAAGAAAAAAAATAACATAAAAGATTAAAACTCTAAGCTTAAAGACCAAAATATAATTATAAAGTTGAACTGATTCACATGATCGATCCCGAACATGACTCAAACTAATCGAACCTAATAGATATAATTAGCCCTCATTGTTGAGCCAACCAGTCGACCACCACCACAAGCCAACCATTTAACTGGCAACAACTAGTTAGTCGATTTAGCCAACCGATCAACTAGTTAATTGGGATTTTCAGAATTCCAATCTATCAGTCTTCAACACTGCAAAACCCCAAAACACACAATTTGATCTTCAAGCCTCAAATTCAAGATATCTAATTAGTTTGTTTTAAGTCAATTAACATCCTAAAACATCAATTCAAACTCTCAAATCCTTCCATCATTAAAATAATATAAAAAACCTAAACATTTCTTATTTTCATAATCAATGTCTTAATAAAAAATAACAAAAGATGAGGATATTTACTTGTTGAGAGAAAGTCACATAAGAGAGAAAAATAAATTCTAACAACCTTTTCTTCAAATATTTAGGTTAATTGGGTTGGGTTTTTGTTGAACTTTGGGGTTAGATGTGTTGGGCAAAAACATAGATCTTACAAATGAGATTGGAGTTTTAAAAAAAAATTGAACTTCTAGTCAAATATAATATTTCTAGAAAATAAAAACTAATTTTTTAAGTTTCTTAAATTTGTATTGAGTTTGAAAAACACATTTTAAATATTCTCCATAGTTTTCTCTTCTCAAGTTTTCATTGTTTTTAAAATAAAAAAAAAATTGAATAATAGCAATGTAAAACATTAAATTATTTTTTTATTTTTTTATACTCAGAAATATTTATAATTAAAATGTATAAAATTTTTCATGATAATTTTTAAACAAAATACATATACTACAAAAATATGGGGGGAAAATTACATTTAAAAATTGTGTTCAAATAAAAAAATGGTAAATTTTTTTATTGAATGTGGAGAATCCTTAATAAAATTTAAATTAGAACATAGATACTAACAAATAAAGTATTGTGGTGGTTAAATTTGTTGTGTGAAGTTGAATTGTGTTGAGATTGAGTAGAGGAGGAGTGGCTATTTGTTAAAAAAAAAAAAAGCATAAAAAATAAGAAGAAATGAAAGAGGACAAGAGGAAGGTCAATCATCAAATTATAAATTAAATATTACAAATAGATTTACTAACAAAATTATTTTATCGTGCATTCCATCAATTATTGTGCTAGTTAAAAATATCACGTTACTATATCATTTGTATTTTTTAAATCTCACTATAATATTATCCATAAATCCATCAATAAAAGGCATACCACTTAAGAAAGAAGTGTCAATAAGGAAACATGGTGACCCTCACCTTAAATAGTTAAAAATCTCAAAAAAAAAAAGTTTTTAAAAGTACTTTTAACTTAAAATTAAATTAAAATTTTTTTAGATAATTTTAACGTGCTAATAAAAAAATAAAATAAAAATTATTTTAATATTTTAAAGTAAAAAACTATTTTTAAAAGTAATTTAAACCTCAATTAAAAACACTTCCAAGGCTCAATCAATTATGGGATAATAAACTGCACTTAAACATCTTTGATATTTGCATCCAAAGCTAGCATACCCTTTCATTTTCAACATTTGTTTTTTCATTCCTTATAACGCTATTTAACTCATTTAATATGAGAAATTCACGTAAGATGAGTTGCAGAAAACATGGTAAGAATAAATTAAACCAATTGAATTTTTTAATAACTCATGAACTCATTAACCCCAACTTCTCAATTCGTTTCCAAATCACATCCAACAACTATACTCTCATGTCATATATAACGTCACATTAAAAAACAAAAAAAAAAAGTATAAATCATTTTACTAGTTCAGTCGTGACAAGTTGGATAAATTTTTTAAAATATAAAAATAATATTAAGACAGAGAATAATATTAAGACAGTTTCTTTTACCATGTTATTAAACTAGACTCAACCAGTGAATATTGAAATCTTATAAACTTAACTTTTTATCTAACTTAGATTTTAAGCTAAATCACATGAAAATTAACTTGAATTAAATTAATTGATTTTATAATTTTAAATACAATTTTAATAACTAGTAAAAATATAACTTAACTTTTAACAAAACTAAATTTATAATTTTTTTTTATAAAAACTATTAAAATAATAACAAATTAAATTAATTTAAATTAATTGTCATCCTCAAACAAACAGTATTATAAACTCCATTGAGTTTAATAGTTTTTTTATATAATTTTTTTAATTATATAATAAAAATACATAATCATAAAATTGATCATCAATCTAAAAATAAAAGCTTAATAAAAGCTTATTTAAGATAGTGATAGCACTAAAAAAACAACACAAGAAAATAACACATGCAATTTGTTTCTTAATCAATTTAATATTAAAAAATAAAATTAAGAAAAAAAACTATTACAAACAATTAACAAACTAAAACTAAAAAACACATATCTAAAATCAAGCAACTCAAACTATCATGTTGAACTGTGAACCAATTATGAAGTCAATAAAATTATAATTTTTTTTTCAAAATTATTTTTTATTTAACTTCTTGATTAAAAAAATACAAAAATTATAGTCACAAAATAACACTCTCTTTGTTCTTATTATAGCTGGCCTCCCATCAGCTTTTGTTCTTATTATGGCTGGCCTCTCATCAGCTTTCCATTCAAATACAGAAACTCCAATTAATTGATGAAATACCATATGCATTGTTGTCTTCAAAGTACACTTATTTTTCAAGATTGTTACTATAGAGCACACTAAAACAGGCAAGTTTGCCTGTCAAAAGAAGTCCAACCAATTAAAGAGCATGACCTAGCTGGAGTGCAAATCACCAACTGTTTCGGGGACCACTTACGCTCTTGAAGCAGTGTTGAACGTGCAATAACCATTCCAGGAAAGAACATGAAGTGAGATCAGAACAATCTGTTTATTCATTATTGCAATCTAAAGCCTTTATTGTCTCTCTCCGCCACCTAGCGGTGTTTGGATCAAACCTCAACTCCCATGTAGGCCAGTAGTGCAAGTCCTGCTTCAACGTTAGCACTCGTGGCTTCCCATCCAGATTGATGGTCTTTACACGAACGAACTCATCAAATCGTAATCCCTGATAAATGTAATACAGTACAAAGTGCTTGATTGACCATGAGGAAATAAATACTAACAAAGCATGCAGGATAGTTCCCCGATCAATTATTCTTGTACTCCTAATGCATATTCCGAGGAGTTGGTACAGAGAAATTAGAGAGTACCATAAAAAAAATGTTTGGGGAGCGAAACTAATTAGCATGCTAGTACTAGCCTACTCCCACTGTTTGTCTCTTGAGAGTCCTATTTAGAAGATTCTTAAGTGAACTTCTCATGTATTTGTCTCTTGAGAGTCCTATTTTGAAGATTCTTACGTAAACTTCTCATGTAAGAAGTTGTGAACAGCTCCACAAAGGGCATTCCAATTTTTGAAGAAATATGCAACTAGCTCACAAAAGGTATTCCTATTCACAATGCTTGTCATGGTAAAAATACACACAAGCACACACTAGTTTTTCGTGTGCTGGTATCTTATGGGTTACATAATATTGTGCTCAGAGAGTCGCATCCCCCAAATTCAGACTTCAAAAGTGTCATTTGTATCATAGCTTTAGTAAATAGATACCAAAATGTAATGATGTCTTTATTCTTGTTCTTTCTTTTCTTTTCTTTTTTCCTTTTATGAATGGAAAAAAAAAAATTCTAATAGAGATATAATGCACACACATTTCCTTGCTTCCTACAACCCATATTCAAAAAACAGTCGTCATGTTCCCGCAAACAAAAGACACCATGAAAGAACTTGAAGCTAAAAGTCAATTTGTTTTAATCATCCGTTGCTGTTATTTGTATTCTTTATCCTTTTTCCTAATTTACTTCATAGCTTTCCATATATTCTATTGTTTTTAAGAATTTGCGGTTTCCACTTGGATGGAAGCAAATGCACTGATTGCAGATGCATTCTATAAAAAACAACTCCACACAAAAAAATTACATAAATGAGTGGCCATACCTTTGTCACATTTACAAAAGCATCCAAGTCAGGAGTGGGTTTTCCATTGACTTGAACAATCCATCTAAGAGCACCTAGAGCATATCTATCTGCAGGACTTCCACGGCAGCACCTATGAAATTGAGAAAATGTCAAACCTGCATTCAATAAGATCAACATTTGCACATTTGCAGTCTTATGTGGTTGATTATAATTGGGGAAAATATGCTGGACAACTTTATAGTTAGAATGATGCCATTCCTCCGGCATTGGTTGACTTCTGATTGAAATTGGGTAGGAATTCCTTTGTTGAAGACCATTATTCTTTCATGACAAATTTATATTGACTGTATCCAGCAAAGCAGCCATAAACATATCATTACTAAGTTCATCTTGCAAGTAATTAGCCAAAATTTTCAAGTCCATTTCCATTCACATCATATAGACTGTAACTGTAAGGCTATATTCTTATTTTTCCAACATTGCAAAGGTAATTCTTATCTCAACATCAAGAAACAGAAAAAAAAATAAGTTTTAAAAAAAAAGAAAGAAAAACTTTTAGGACTCAAAGAAAAATTCTTACATTGCTGCATAGACACCATGACCTTCTCCAGGAAGAAATCCAAGGGCACGAACTGCTGGATGAGGATCCTGAACAAGACAGCCGCACCAATTTACTGCTCGTGTTGTACCATTACCATCCCTAATGTCTGTTCCAACAAATAGATCAACTTCACCTCCCTAGCAAGCCATACAGAAAAGGGCATCAGATCAATTTACTTACATCAACATCAGAGATTATACCAAACAAGCTAAAATACTTTGCAAACCAGACAAGAGAAATAATAGTTATAATAACATGTCCAACACAAGATAATGATACCTCTATCAGGTTTTAGTAGCATAAACATCTGACATGAACTTACCTGCCGACAAATGGTAATTTTAAGCTTCCCATCACTGTCAACACAGTTCTCTAATGCTTGACATGCATTTTCTACGTCTTGGAAGCAAGTAACTGGCTCTTTGTTGATTGCCAACAACATGTCGCCTTGTTTTAATAGATTCTCAGTGTTAGATCCAGCCAAACAACCTTTAACACGCAAAACTTGTCGTCTCATTGGGTCTTTCTTTACAAGTCTCTACAGTAAAATATCAGTCAAGTTTTGATATTCAGAATAATGATACAACGTTGTACTACAGCATTTTTCAGCAAAGCAGGTTAAGTTCAAGAGAGCAGTTATCCAGGACAAAAACCAATTGAAAGACATTATATTATCAGAAACAATATTCAATTAAAACAAGATTAAGATTGGAAAATGCGCACTCTCTAAAGCTCAAGTTTAAGACCATTACTTTCATGATTTTTATTGAAAGAATTTTACATGAAAATGTTAACACACATTCATTTGCAAACAAAATAAAAGAAACATGAGAGAGTGGCAAGCTAAGATTGATATGCATTCTCTAGGCACAAGCAGAGATGAAAGAACAGAAATATTTTACTAGGAAGAAGACATACCTGGATCCATTCATCACCAAGACCAAAACTCCGGGCCTTTGAAAGCAATCTAGAGCAAAGTTCCACCTCTAAAGTCCTAACAAGTGGCATTGACCTTTTGACACCGTTTATGAGAATAGAAGCCCCATTTGCACCAGATATAATTTTGTCAAGTACTTGGCTAATCATGTAGATTGGGACACCTCGAACAAATTGATAATCCTTTGATGTAGTGTGACTAGATTTTGGCTGAAAATGAAGATTCAAGGTTATTGCATACTATCATAATAAGGCAAATCATGACAAGTTGATTAGTGGTGAAAACCTTGTTTGAAAAGCTCCCCCATATAGCCCGAACCTTTCCATGCTCATTACATAGCACACCAGTAAATGCATTACCAAAATCTGAAATACAGAACAAAATGAGACACTAAATCTAAATATAAACACAATCTTGGGAAATTCAAATTTATTCTCTTACCAGTGTCAAGCTCAATTACTTCCATATTTATTGCTCTATACCGTGGACGATCAGCATAGCCAAAATTTAATGCGACATAAGGGTTCGTCACAATTGATTTCCTAGACTTTGCTCGTTGATTCTTACTTAACCCAATCAGATATATTGGATCTCCACGACATAATGCAGGCTCTGTCTCAAAAAGCACAAGGATGATTGTTACAGTGAATAGCTTGGATCTACTTTCAGTTTACTTGGAGAGAGAAAATTGAAAGATCACTCACACTAACACAAATAAAATAGGAAAAAAAAAAAAAGCTGAGATCAAAGGATTCATCAATCCAAGACTTGTTAAATAAATGGACCAAGATTGAACATTCATGGATGTGACTCATTGTTTTCACTAACTAGCATGTTTCTGTGGGCTCAAGCTTTTCCCAGCACTGCTACTCAGAATAGTAGTGGTATTGACTAACAAATACAAGGTAGCTGTCAGTTTTCAAAGTTGTGGCTTGCATAAACAAGTCAAGCTTGAACTTGGACTTGGATCTAAATTGACCGAGGTAAGCTCAAGCTGAATCTGTAAAGAGATAAATTTGAGTTTCTTTACTCTCTGCAAAATTTGAACAAATAGTATTTGGCTCTACTTGACTTTTTTTGCAGTCTAATAGAAGCCCTCACCCTTGACCCTCCTCCCTCAGGGATGAGAAGAATATGCCACTACTGAAAATCAAAGGTGAAAGCATGCACCTGAATAAGGTAGAAGTTCAGAATTTAAAAAGAAAATAAGTTCTACAGGATCATATAAGATCACCTGGAAATAAATACAGAGTCAAACCTACCAGGAAGTAACTCAGCAGCACGAACCATAGAAGCACCAACAGCCCCCAGAGCAGAGGGATCATAACCAACAAGAGCATAATTGTAAACAGGATGAAGAAAGACAACCTGCAATTAAGTATAGGCAGTAATTCATATACCCTCAATGTTTTATAAAAACTTCATAGCATTACTTCGAAAACGTTTACCTCCCCTGGAATCTCGATAGGAAAAGCAGCAAATGACAGCATCACATCACATGCAGATGTTTCAACGGTGTTCTTGTCAATAGCAACCAATCCCATGTCTTGAGAATGATGTACAACAACACCAGTCCCAGAAGAATGCAATGAATGAATGCCATCAAGTAAACATGATGGTGGCACATTGACCTGCAAGTATAAATATCTACTTCAATATCCCATTTCAGCATTATTTGTCTCTTTTTTTTATCAGCGAGATGTTCATAACAGACACTGATCAGATGATGATGTATCTTTGACTTGATAATTGAGAACATAAATCTGTTCAGACTTACACAGAATAAAGCATATCTAGAATCTGATTTCTAAATAAGAAAAATCACTAAAAAGCAGATAAATTCTCAGTAAAGTGATGAAGCACAGTGGTTTTGAAGGCTATGTCTAATTCCATTATTGTCATGTTATGTAGCAGCGTTATAGGAGAAAGTTCATAAAGCAATACCAGAAACAAATATGGAGGTTTCACAAGATGGTTGACTAGAAGCTGAGGCATTTAGCAAAGTTAGACAGCTGATTGATGACAATAGGAAGACAAAACTTGTCACAGATTACCTCCAATGTTACAAGAGTGGGCTCCACCACACGTTCCGCAAATGAAGCATTAGTTGCTGCTGCTATTGCACCTTCATAGCCATTTGAAACTGTAATTTCTGTGGTACCTGGAGTCTCCAATTTCATTTCTCCAATTTCAAGCAAGAAACGGTCAGCAATTGCAATTTCATCAGAGGACAAGTTCCCCTGTACCTGTTGCTTATTAGTTTTAACATCACACTCTTCCCTGGAATGGGCCTCCTCAGAAATATGTTCATAACCGGCTTCTGTTCTCATAATATCATGTGTCAACTCCTGGTTGTTAGCTTGATCCGTGCCTTCAGCAGGAGTTGATTCACTATTCAATGAAGATGCTTGGCTGTTTAGACCTTGAGTGACATCGCTACTACAAGGTGACAACTGCAGGGTGGTCGGTTGAATAGCAGGCCTTGCCATCCATAAACCAGAACTATCATCCCGTGTGTATATCTTCGGAGCATTGTACCATTCATGGCGATCAATTGTGACCAAGGTAGACTGCGGCCATCACAAGAGTTGAGAAAAAAAAATTCCAACATCCTAAATTTGTTAATCAAAATAAAAGGAGTACGCACTTGCAGAGAGATTATCATTCACAATTCTATTCTAAATATCAGAAATTTTCACTTCCTATGGTGCTTTAAACGCAATTTTCTAACTTATTGATTTATGGAAATGAAAGGTAGGTCTTTCATTTTCATGGAATATGGTACAATTTACAAGAATCGATTCATCAAAGATTAGATATCTTAAACCTACACAACCAAAAAAAAAAAAAAAAACAGTGCAGGCAATGTCCTGCTGCACATCAGCACATTTAACGCATACCTTTCTTCGATGGCGATCCTTGTAGCTTATATACTCCAATGGCACTCTATCACCCCTACATAGCTTAGACAGAACAGAGATTACATCTTCAAGTTGTGATATCTCATCATTGGCAAACTTCTTAATGATGGCATGACGAGGAATGCCAGCCCTAGACAGCATGTAACTGCAAAATGCACAAATTCTTATCATTTAAAAAGAAATGGCCCCTTTGCTATTACATGGTTTCCTTCAAAACAAGCATCAAAGAGTCATCACACAGTTTTCCTCCCTAAAAGCCCATCAAATTACTCAACAAAAACACTTCTATTTTGCCTTGAATTTGTCAATTTCATTCAGGGAAACAAAAAAATACAGGAGATGATTCAAGGAATTTGTAAACTCAATCAAATTAAAAAAAAAAAAAACACAGATATCTTGATTAAACTGACCCGGGGTCCGAAACATATACAAGACCACATTGGAAGCAGAAGTTTCTGGCCTGATTCAATTACAAAGTTGCATGTGTTAAAATGATGAAAATGATGAGCAAGAGCGCATAGCTCAAACAGAATAAAAAGAACTACAAACAATTTTATTTGCTTCACAAAAAATGCTAACTGAAATAAATAAACGATTAATAGATGAATAAACCCAACCAACCTGTTGATAAGACAAACGGTGTATCACTGCACCACTTACTTCTAAGAAGCAGTCAGGAGTTATCGAGTGCAAATCCTGAACCTGCAGCATAGGCGCATAAGCATACTTGTTTTTCTCCATACACCTAAGCAACATGGAATACAAGTGATCCCAGGAAAGCAATATGACCATGTAACTACACCAGGATAGACTTAGACATGAATCTATCAAGGACGGACACTAATAGAACATGTGGACACAATACAAACACAAACTTAGAATATTAGAAAATGTACTAGATAAAGTAAATTCACACATTAGTAGAGAAGTCCAAAACACTAAATGACTTACAAAATTACCTATTGCTATACCTTTGATGCCATCTATTTCACTCGCTCATTTCTAACAGTTATCTCCATAGGCCTCAGAGAAGCACTTAAAAAACTGATTTAATTGGTGATACTTTATTTCAGAGATTGTTACATGTTTGGTGCGCCAACTTTTTTATTTCATCTATTTGAGTGTTCCTGCTTTTATTTTTGTTATTTAAGCATATGTACCTTCAATTTTTTTTCTAATCAAGTGCTTCTATTAGATCTGTTAAATATACATAACATGGAAATTGATATCTGACATGTTCACCAAGAGTGCGTGAATTTTTCCATTTATTTCTATCGAGTCTTTAAAATTTTATTTCTAAGCCAATGCACAACTTTTAATACAGGTATGGTTTCTAAGCAAAACAATGTGTTTCACCATTAGACTAAGGCCAGTCCAGATAATGAGTAGTTATACTACAAAGCAACTGCTTACAGCATATTTTCCAATGAAATTAAAGGCAATGGAAAATTTTCCTTGATTATTAACAAAATCAAATTATGTCCAGAGTAACTTTTACCACTATACTAACGGTTAATGATGTGCCACCCCTTTCAATTTGTAATTCGATCTTTTTGTCAACACTGTCATCAAGCAATGCCTCCAATTTTAAAAACTGAGTAGTCACCTGCAATAAAGACATTTGTCAAAAACTAATATCAACATATCAATTAGTACAGGAGATGTAGATAAAAAAGATTCTCTATTTCAGTAGTATCATCTTCTACATGATCCCAGTCAAAATCCTTTGGATGCATGAGAAATGGAAAACTCAAGTAAAGCACGTTTAGAAGTCCCACCAGTGATTTTAAAGCCTACGCTGGACCTGCCCTTTTGACTATTAAGGGTTAACCATGGTTTTTCGGATTGCATGTAAATCAACTAACCAAGATGCTACCTTTGGTTTAACCTAGTCTTTGGAAAATTCCCAAACAATAGAAAGTTGTCCTGACCTAAAAATGATAAATAAGTGCAGCCTCTGAATGTTGACTAGGTAAATGTATGGTAGAGAAGTCTGATTCTCATGCATAGACAAGTGTGTTAAAGAAAAAAAGTGGGGGAAGCATATATAAATCCCATATCTAAAAAAGGAAAGAAAAGGACATACAGGGAAAACAAAATAAACAAAATAAAAGAGAAGATAAAACAGAGAAAATACTATCATGTTCTTGTATATATAATGGCAAGTCAGCTATAAAATCAATGTAGAGATTTACATGCAATGCATCAAGATTATTCATTACAATGGATCAAGATTCAGTGGTTTGAGATTGAATGCATAACTTACTTCCCCATTCACACGCACAAGCACATCCCCTGACTCCAATTGCCTATCAGCTGGCCCACACGGCACCTGAAGAAGTTCATGATATTAGGAATGATAAAGATAGTTCTTTGACAATCTTCAATTAAAAAACACAAAAATGTGCTCACCACAGAGTCAACAACCAACATTCCAGTTTCACCTGGTGCAGAGCCTTGCCGCACCATCTAAACAAGACAGCAGAATGAGCCACCCGCCATTATTCTTAACAATTCTATGCAAGGAAGAAATACCTGCTCTGTTTCATTCGGAAGACCAAGCCGGCGTGTCTCATCAAATCCTTTATGGAGAAACGTTACCTATATCATGAATAGCTAAACTCATGTGAAATTATAAGGAAAAGAAAAATCCATATTGTAAATCAACATACAAATAGGATAAAAAAGCAAAGCATCTATATTGTTAAAACCAAAAGGTGGGATGATAAATTTATTACCATTGCAGGGGACCAAATATTTTTATTGAAAACTACTTTCAAGACTTTTTAAAACATTAGCTTAGTTTTATTTGATAAAACAGAATGAAAGACTACAGAGCAAGGGGGCTAATGTTTTCATCTTCTAACAAAGTATAGTTTTACTGCCAAATATGATCTTTCCACATAATTAGCATTAAAAGAAATCTGGCCTAATGTCAAATGCAAAATTTCCATCTATGTTCTAGCATAATGCAGTATAATACTTGAAGCCTTCAAGAAGCGTGAAAGTAACATCAACTAAAGACCTGAAGGGTGCCACGAGGTATAGAAGCATCTTTGGACTTCTGGAGAAATGCCAATGCCCTAACAACCTGCAGATCAAGTAATTATGTGATTCAGTGCCCAGGAAACACATAATTTTATTCAAAATCTGGTGCCTATGTAAAATTAAAGGCTTCATATATTGCAAACCAAAGTAACAAAGAATGGAGGACTTGAATTTTCATAAGACACCCTGCTGCATGAGTTACCATCCATTTCAGATGAAAACTTAATCAGAACATAATGCATTAAGCCATTAAATAATAACATACTCTCTCTAAATGTAAATAGAAGGCAGATGAAGATGATACGCTGCCCCCAGCATTCAAGGCCACCGCCCTCCCTTGCTTATCAATCACCGGGGAACCACTAGAACCTCGCTTAGTTCCGGAGGCTGCCTGAAATTAAAGTGAAACAAATATTAAAGAACAGTTTATTAAATGGTTTATTTGGAGAAGTTCTATTGCACATAAAGAACCAATTGACTGTTTGGAATCTGCTACTCATAAGATTTAGGCTTATCCCTCGTAGTCATAACCTTGTATAAGGATCATAGAGTAAGGACTAGTAGGTGGTTCAGTTACTGCCTGACTAGTAGGAGGTTCAGTTACTGCATGTGATGGTGAAGAATTTTAAGAGAAGTCTTTCTCTTTTTTTCATTTTACCAGCAGTATTTTGTACAATAAATAGAGAAGAGAAGCTAACCTACTGACCCTCAAAACAAGAAATAAATACTAGATAGAAAAATATCTTACACTAAACTAGAAAGCAATAATCTAGAGAATTTGGATAGGTAATACCAGATTCTCTTCCTAAACCATATATACTAAGACTTCTCTAAGAACCTAATTGATTTTGAGACTGATTTCCACACTCCCCCTCAAGCTGGGTTGTATATGTTATGCATGCCCAGCTTGTGACTCAATTCTTCAAAATTAGTCCTTGGTAGAGTTTTGGTGAGGATATCTGCAATCTGAGATTTTGTTGGAGTGTAGATGAGGTGAACAATGTTCTTCTCAATCTTTTCATCTTTCTGTGATGAAGAGTCGATCTATTTCAATGTGTTTTGTCCTGTCATGATGAACTGGATTCTTTGCTATTCTTATGGCTGCTTGATTATCACAACGCATCTAAATAGATGTCAATGATTCAATGCCAAGTTCCTTAGGTAATCTTTGTATCCACATCCCTTCACAGATACCAAGAGCTAGAGCTCTCAGCTCAGATTTTGCACTGCTTCTAGATACTACATGTTATTTCTTGATTTTCCAAGTTTCTAGATTTCACCAAACATAAGAGCAATATCCAGAAGTAGATCTCCTATTGATAATGTCTTTCTCTTTTCTTCATATTACCAGCAGTATTTTGTACAATAAATAGAGAAGAGAAGCTAACCTACTAAACCTCAAAATAGGAAATAAATACTAGATAGGAAAGTATCCTTCACTGAACTAGAAAGCAATAATCTAGAGAATCTGGATTGTTAATACCAGATTCTCTTTTCTAAACCATATATACTAAGATTTTTCTAAGATCCTAACTGATTTGGAGACTGATTTCCACAGTACCAAACTGCTTGAACCAAGGAATATTCATCGGAGTAGATAACAAGCTCACATTGAGCTGGACATTAGAAGTATCATTGCATATGTTTTAATTTTATACTTTTTATGTATAAAGGCAATTTGAAATAACAAAGAAAAAAATGGCTGTCAACAATAAACAGCAAGATATGGTACTTTCAGTGGTTACAACCACTGAATAAATCTTCCATGAAACTATAAGGAAAGGAGAAAGGGATATGCCAAACTAGGGCAGTAAGAAACCATTAAATGAAATCTAAATCAGTTCAGACTTCATCTTTAAAAGGCACCAATGTCAAAGTGTCAAAGAAATTATATAAGGAAAATGAATTATCAATTCTGAATTCAAAATGATTCAAGCCATAGATAACTCTTTGCCTAAGATTGCCAGCATGATGAATTAAACTACTTACTTGCATGTAGAAGGTATTGAAGTCATTATAACCATCTCTGCACCAAACAATAGTCATTGTTAATCTTTATGATTAAGCATCTACAGGTCGGTTGACTGAGTTTCCATATATCATGGACTAGTCAACACTATGATACTAACTTATTGTTCAAATATAGTCTGAAGAGATAAGATGTGCCAAATAAAACCATAGAAGTAAAGCTAGAAAATTTATCACTCCACTTGCAATTCAGAAATAAATACTTTATAGAACATTCCAAGGGCGAGCTTATAACCAATTTATCTAGTTAGCTGTTACTATTATGTGTGGATGCATGACCTTTTTCCTCGCAAACACATGCATGATTTATTACCCACGTACAGTTATAACTTTCTGGAGAAACATATTAGCTAAAAAAACTCATGCAACATGATTAATCACACAAAATCCTTATAATCATCACTCATAGATAGCATGATGGGCAATGAAGTCATCAACGTATAATAACAACTTACAACTTTTAGCAAGGGATTCAAGCAAAAGATTAGTGAAGTTGCTATACCTTCTATAAGTAGGTGCATTTCGATCCAAACGAGCAAGGGTACCGGCCAAAATGGAAACCTATGAAATTGATGTTACTAGCACTAATTAGAAAATAATAACTTAACTCTCAAAAACTAAATAAGTACTAAAACTCCAACCAACTAGCAAATTTAAAGGTGCAAATTCTCATATACAAGTTTTGGTAAACAAATAAATAACAAAATGAGAAGTAATGACTACCTTCTCACAGCTATCATTGCCGATAACTCTGATTTCAAGCCCAACAGTAGCAGCTTCTGGGGCAAGAGGAATCTCCTCATACTTGTGAAATTGTATTTCACTAGGATCATAACGAAAGAATCCAAAATCATGAACCTGATAGAAATTGTAGAAACATAGTATATTAGTGTAACTCACATGTTATGCAAAACTAAAGAAAGCCCATTTTTGTAGTCTTTACAATATGCAAATAAAATACAGAAAGTAAAAACTCACAGGGTCTCTGTAAATTGGGTACACAGGAATTTCTTCATTGTTGACAAATATAGCCTGGGCAACTACAGGGCCTACAACACCACAGCCATCATAATTAAAAATAATAATAATAATAATGATTAGGATTTACATGCCAAAAGCAAATAATTAAACAAGTAATTCATATAGAATATCAAAAGTATATTTAAGAAAATAAACTCAAAACAAAAATTGAAAAGGAAAAAAATGTAAATTCATAATGCAAAATGTTTTCCTCGTTAAGCATTCTGTAACGTTCCCAAAACAACCAACCTCATCAATGAATAATCGACGAGAGAAAATTGTAATCACAAAGCCACAGATTTTTAACGAAAAAGAAAAATAACACAAATATCGAGGGCAATAAAGTAAATCCACTTCAATCACTCACATAATACCAATCTTACCCTTTTTCCCGCGTTTTTCTTATTAACCAAAAATAAAGAAAAGCAAAGGGAATTCAACGATCAATATGCATCATCAAAACAAGAAGAATAATCGAGTAGTGATAGTAGAAATTACCAGGCTTGACAACATGTCGGTTAGTGAGAATGATACCGCGATTCTTATCAACAACAAACCCAGTGGCGGACCCCGAGGAAGGAAGTTCGGTGTCGAAGGAGCGACACGCGGTGGTTTGCAAAACCACCACAGCGGGGACCACCTTGTTGATGGCGTCTCTCCAGTCGTCGGTTATGACTTCCTTCTCTGGTGGCAACTCGCTCTCTAACTCAACCTGATCAGTCGATTCCTGGCTTCGTAAGTCCATGGTTTCCATCTCTGAGTCTAATATCTCTCGCGAATTTGAGTCTTCCATTCTTGAAATTGGAAATGGGATCGGAAAGGCAGCTGATTGACTTGGCCTCCCTTTTAAATCGTTACGGGAGCAAGTACAGTTTTGGAATTTGCAATTTTTATTTTATTTTTTTATGGTCTGGTGTTGGTGGTTTTGATGATAAATACGATGTCAATGTCGTTATGTTGAAACGACTTATAAAAGAAGTAGTTATTTAACCCCCTCAGCTGCGGGTAATAATTTAAAAAAATATTATTATATAAATTATTTTAATATATTTTTTTAGTAAATAAATTAAAAAATATCATTAAATAAACTAATAACTATTTATATAATTAAACAGGGAAAAAAATTAATAATAACCAAAAACAATATTACTAAAATTAAAAAATAAATGTAAATCGAGATATTCAAATATTCATTTAATTATATTTATTAAATTTATTTATTAAAATTAATAATAGATAAACTCACAACTTAAAAAATTTATAATTTAAAAAATAAAAACAAGTGACACTGAAATAAATAAACTCCTGCTTAAGAAAATATTATACAATGTCAAATACAACAGCAATATTATTTAAAAATAAATATTTTTTTATTTTTAAAAATAAATTTCATTTATATGAAATTAAAAAAAAATCTAAATGAATTAGAGAAATCAAATACAAAAAAAAACCTCTAAAAAATAACATACAAAACCCGTGATTTGAATTATAAGACCAATATAAACTTACAGAAAACAAATACAAAGCGATAAGATCTTACGAAGCCGAATCGCCAACTAATTAAATATCAAAAGATAAAATTAAGAACAAAATCAATTATATTAAAAGATTTAAAAAATAAGAGTGGAAAACAAATTATTAGAAAGCAAATAAAAATTTGATTTGATATGTGCTTTGTAACATGTTATAATTTTTCATTTAAAAAAAATTGAATATACAGATTATTTTGATATTTTTTTACATAATAAAAATTATAAATATAAATTGAAAAGTTTATTCAAACATCTAATAAGCATATATGTAAATAAAAAAATAAAAATTATTAACAATAACTAAAAGAAAAGCTGAAAAAATTAAGAAATGGACGTAGATCAAAAATATTTGATATTGAAAAATAAAACATTTATCTATTTGTGTCCAATAAATTTGTTCATTAAAATCTATAAAAAATAATATAAATAAAAACTCATATGAAACATAATGAATAAAAAAAGGTATGCATAGCCTATCATATAAGAAATATTATTTCAAAATAATTATTTTTTTGTACAAAAACAAAACCTACTTGTATTAAGTAAAATAAAAAATTAGCAAAAATTAAACACAAAAACAAAACAGATTTTATAAAAAATACCTTTATTCAAAAATAGCTTGAAAAACTTGTGGTTTAGTTAATAAGATCGAGACAAACTAATATAAAAAAATATGAAGGTAACCATAGAACAATTTTTTTAAGACAATCTAAAATGATAAAATTATAAAAAAAATAAAAAAAAAATTTTTCCAACTATATTAACAGTTAAAAGTTGTGACCATGTCATTAAATTGGAAGCATGACAAATGAAAAAACCGTAAAATTCAATCCCAAATAAATCAAACACTAAATGATGTAATCAAAAAAATATCAATCGTATAAAAATTTAAATAAAAAAAGGGTGGAAACCGAAATAAAAGATAAATTTGTGGGCATTAAAAAATTAAATTGCAAGGTAAAATTCAAAAGAAAAAACAATTAACAAAAGGGGGGAAAATGAAGGCTAAATTAAAAAAAGAATATTAATAAAACTTTGACAAAAGAATAAAGATCAAATTGAAGAGAATAATATATGACAAATTATAATTTAAAAAAATAAATTAAAAGCACAAAAAACTTTTCTAAAAAGGTCAAGGATGGAAATAAACACTAAAAAACAAAGGACTAAAATTAAAAAAGAAAATAAAAAAAAAAGATGACAAACATGTACTTTAACTAAAAAAAAGAGAAATATAAGAAGAAGAAAAAAGAAATGACCACCGCCAATAAACTACTAATTCATCACTAATATTTTTATATTGGAAAAAAGGCCATGTGGCAGCATTTTTAGTGAAACGACAAAAGGTTATTTTTAGAAAACTATAATGTCACACAGGTCATTAAAAAAACATGGATACCACTAATAGCTTTTTTTTTAATTTAATATTAAATTACTAAAAGTCTACCATAACACTAGAAATAACAAATAAATTAATGTAAAAGTATTTAAATACTCCTGAAATGCATAAAAGCTATTTTGTTTTATCTAAGGGCAAGGAAGTAATTTACTTATTTTAAAGTGTGTGCAAAGTTTAAAAAAATCCTTAATCAGTAGGTTTAAATTTTGTTGACTTTGAAGGTAAAAAAATATTTTTATTATATAAAATTATCTAAAAGGATAATAATATCCATGTTCAATCTTTTAATGAACAATGGGTTAGCGTGAAAGACTAAAATACCCTTATATCCCAACCTTTCAACTTTTCATTAAGGGGCACAAAGGTAAATTCAATATAGAAATTCATAATAAATTTTATCTATTATTATAGTGAATTCAACACATGTTTTAAAGTTTTGTTAATTTTATGGAGTCAATGATAATTGAATAAATAAATTTTAAAATGAGAAATAATTGATTATTAAGAGGAAAAAAATCAAATAGTTATTGATAATTAATGATTATGTTTGGTGGATTAATCAAAATGAAAACATATGATAGTTAAAGAGACTCGACCAGCTCATGACTCAATCTAAGACTTGGTTCATGGGTAAGGTAGAACAACATAAAGGTCATAAGTTGATTTGCTTAACTTGCGGATCAATGGGTTGATTCAAGTCTATTGGTTATTTCTTTAAAAATAAATTATACAAGATGGTGTCATTTTGAATATTAAAAAAAATGATATTATTTTAATTTTTTTAAAAAAATATTAATCAAATCTCATCAAAATTCTCACAGAATTACTCAGTTTTCAAGCTTATTTATAGAATCATCAGGATTTTTTTAAATCAATTACATAAATTATCTAAAATAAAAACCAGGTTAGTCAAAGGTTGAGTTCAATAAATGAGCATATCAAGCTCTAGTTAGGTTCCAAAGCACCAAAATATATTCCCCATTCATTCTTGATGCTTTTGCAAAAATATATTTAAACTGAATTTAATATTTTTATATATGTTTGCAGCATTAATATATCAAGATTATCTAAAAAAGATATCAATTAAAAACACTTTTAGATATAATGTAACTATTTTACCCAACATTGGTTTAATCATGTTTTAACTTTAAAGTTATGATTGTTTGTCTTTACTTAACAAGTGTAAGTCCATTTTATGAAACAATTATTCTTTCTTCTTTGTGTAAACATGCGACAACGTATGAGAGATACATGATAATTATAATATTATTAATAAATGCTAAAACATCAATGAAACCCTGTTGTAGCACCTAAGTGAAAACAATATTCACTGAAATAATGTTTTTGTGGTTTTGCGATTTCCACCAAAAAGAAAATTAACACTAATTATTAGAGATATTAAAATCTCTTTATACATCTATTAGTCATTATTAAATTAATTACAACTAAGTATCTTTTAAAAAAAAACATAAAAACGACCAAAATACTTTTAAAAGCAACCCAAAAAAAACATGAAGGGGAATTTGTTTTTCACAATATTTTTTTTTATTATTATTATCAAGTTAGATGAGAGACAATTTAATTTTTAATTAAATATAAAAAGTAATAAAAAATAAATTAATACTGCAACAATCAGAACATTTTTAAAAGCAAAACAAAATTAAAATTGGTATTAAAGAGGCTTTTTCATCTTTTTGCAATGTTTTTTTTTTATTATTATCAAATTATTTTATGGGCAATTTGATATTTAATTGTATATTAAAAAATAGTATATAGGCATGTGGCGTATTTACTAGAGTATGATTGACGACTGTATAATTCTAGCAACACATACAACGCCTATCAAATTAAAAAATATTATTATATTATGTTGTTGGAAGCATTATTACGTCATTTTTTTATTGGTATGGTGTGTGTCAGAGCAACGGTAGGATGGTTTGTTATTGGTGGGCTATGTTTTTTTTTCCTTTTTCTTTTTTTGCTTTCATTCTTTAAAAATGTAGTTTTATCCTTTTTTATTGTTAATATTTCAATTTTATTCCTTATACTTTTAATTTCTAGTTTTTGTTATTAGTTTTTTTTATAGAAGTTTTATTTATTTTTAATTTTATCATTCAGTCCCAATTTATCATATAATATTTTTTCTAATTTGATATTTATTCTTTTAATTGATTTTTCTTTTCATATTTTACCCTTCAATGAAAAAATTATTTGTATTTCTTATTTCAATTTTAATCCTTATTTTTTTAATTATTATTTTTTATCCTTTTATTAAATTGGTTTTTTCTTTTCAATTTCACCCTTCAATTAAAAATAAAAATTTATCTTGTATTTCAATTTTGATCATTATTCTTTTAATAGCTATTTTTAATCCTTTTATATAATTAATTTTTTTTTAATTTTATCTTTCAATATTTAATTGACTGAAAATTAGGTTTCATGGTTTTTCTAGATATAGTGTTTTTAGTCTAATAATCTGGATTACATGTTTAAAAAGTTCACACAAATTAAAATTGTTTTTGTTTTTTTTTAAAGCGTTGTTGTTTTTATTATTTTTTTATTAAGTTATCTTAATTTTATGATGTGGATCATAAATTTGATAGGATAACTTAGGTTTGCTCGACCCTAATTACCGAAGATTACATATTTATTATGTTAACCTAGATTTGTTCAAGCTATTTTTTTAGTTTTTTTTAATTTAATTTTATCTTTTTATATTTAACAAGAAATTAAGTTTCATCGTTTATCTTTTAAAAAAATTCTCATATTATTGTAATTATTTTTTTAATTTGATTTATTTATTATCATTTTTTATTTTTATCATCTAATTAAATCAAACCAATCTAATTAAATAAAACCAATTTATTTGATTCAACAACTTGAGTCATAATTTTTTTTTTTTGTTAACAAGCATTTGTAACATGTTAACATTTTTTTATATATAAAAATAAAAATTACACCAGCTGTGTAACTCGTGT